AGTGTTTGAATTTTTAGAGTAAGATTCCTGACCCTAATTCTATCTCAAAAAGATTATCACAAAAGACTGAAACACAACAAAATATCAAATTCATAATTCAAAGATTTAAGAATTACCTGAGATCCTGGGCTAAATCCCAGTAATAATCTCAAGAAGCAAAATTCAATTCCAAGCGTTTGCCCCTAGCTTTAGTCTGCTCAGAGCATGTGTTTAATCAGAGTGATCAGCTGAAACACGGACTTAACATGCATTTCATCATGGCAAACTATTAAATAACTGGTGAAGGGCAAACCATCACTGGCTCCTCATCCCTTCCAGGAAACCCTCTTAAGGTTGGAACTTGGGCTCTTTCAACTACCATATTTCATCCACTAATAACACTGAGTCTCAAAACTTTCAAGATAAAAATTCATATTTTTCTCTTATACTTACCTCTGCTATTAGATGAATCCAGCTTCTATCTAGGAATAAAGTTGACTTTTAGGATCTATCAATTACGTAGCATCAAGCCTGGAAAATAAAAAATAAACAAAGGTTATGTGTACATAATGACTCAGACCAGCATATTCCACACCAAGTCACAAGAAAAAATAGAGTCATGTTCATTCTGTCCTTGAATCTCCAGGAATATGAATTATTGATATTTAGAGAATATTAGCAAACACCCAACATCTAATTCAAATTAAGACAGGATCTCTACACAAATTCAACTTTGTTAAAAACTTTGACTAAAACTACACAGTGAGTTTTAAAACTGCACAACCAAACTCTGAAAGTCCATAAAAGTCAGCAGCCTCATAATAACAGAGCAGGTATGCAAAAGGAAGGAGCCAAGAACTCATGAGATTAAGATAAATAAGGTAATATTTTTTAAGGCATAATTTAATTTCAGTGGAGCCAATGTTGACTATATTTAACCTTTACTCTTAGTAATCCTGTCACAATTAAAAAAAAAAAAACTTCCCTTATCAGAGGAGTGTATTCAACTAACAGTTGGAATCCAAGACTGCCACAAGATGGCAATATAAGAAAGAGGCTTTAATTTCCTCTTCCATAGATTCGGAGTATAACGTGAACTTTGAGGTAAAAAAGACTGGAAGAACAGAGCTGTTCATTACTACAAGCAACCTTCCTCGATTCTTCACCTAATTAATAGCTAGAAAAATGTCTGTATTGTACATAATGATCATTTAAAACTCATTAGCTAGGGGTTGAGGATATAGCTCAGTGGTAGAATGCTTGCCTGGCATATATGAGATCCTAGGTTCTATCCCCAGCACTACAAAAGAAAAAGGAAAAACAAAACTCATTAGCTTAAAAAAAAAAAAAAAAGGAAAAAGGAAAAAGAACACATATAACCACTTACAACATATGACCCCTTAATTAAAACTAAATTGCTCAGTCATACTAGTCACATTTTAATTACTCAATTAATATAGATGACCCTGACAGACAATAAAAATATAGAATATTTCAATCATTACAGAAAATTCTCTCAAATATCAGTACCATTAAGGAGTAGCATGACTAAAATAAGGAAACTGTAGTCATCATTTTTTTTTCTTTTTAGTTGTAGTTGAACACAATACCTCTATTTTATTTATTTATTATTATGTGGTGCTGAGGATCAAACCCAGGTCCTTGCACATGCTAGGTGAGCGCTCTACTGCTGGGCCACAACGCCAGCCCCAGAAACAGTACTCATCATTCTTAGAAATTCCTTAAAAATTCCTACTATCTTGACAGCACTATAGAAATTTTTTCATTCAAACTTCAAAATCCTATTGTTACAGAGAAAATTGAGCCTCCGAGAAATTACATAAATTTCCTAAATTCACCTAAGTAATAAGAGCTGGGATTTAAATCCAGTTCTGTCAAAACTTCACACTCTTCAATGTAATTCCTACATGAAATAAGAAACAGAGCTAAAGAGGATGGTTTGCTTTAGAATTTAGTGAGGGTGATAACTGGGGATACAGCTCAATAATAGAGAGCTGGCACTGAGACCCTGGGTTCATTCCTAGCACTTCAGCACTACAAGAAAAAGAAAAGAAGGGCTGACTTCCTTTAGTTTACTGGGAGTGGTAGCACACTTCTATAATCCCGATACTCAGGAGGCTGAAGAGCATCACAAGTTTGGGGCTAGTCTCAGAAACTTAGGGAGACCCTGTCTCAAAATAAAAAATGAAAAAGAACTGAGGATGTAGCTCAGTGGTAGAACATCCCTGGGCTCAATCCCCAATACCAAAAAAAAAAAAAAAAAAATTTAATGAGAATGACTTGCTGGTTCAGTGGCTTAGGAGATAAATGAAATAAATGAGGTGGTTTTAAGTACCTCAGAAAGATATAATTGAAGGGTTATTTTTACTTCTTCCTTATCCTGTACTTGAATAATTCTTAATAGGTATTTTATAAATTATAAAATATTTTATAAGTATTATAAGTATTATATTTTATTTTATAAAATATTTTATAAATATTAATATAATATAAATATTTTGTAAATATGAATATTTTATAAATGTTTATTTTATAAAATATTTTATAAGTATTATAATTATTTTATAAATACTCCATAAATAAACAATGACCCACTCATTTTGTTGATTGTGGGCAGTAAGTGCTTCAAAGTACTGCTTTCATGACCAAAAAAAGTATATTTTAAATGTATAAACAAGTGCTTAATAAAAGCTTGATACAAACTACAAACTGATAATATTAAATCCACAGATGATACATTTTTTGTTTGTTTTACAAAGGGCAATGCATCTGCCAATAAATGGGCACATGTAAAAGCAGAACCACCAGCACTGTCTGTCCCCAAAACCGTGATTCTGGCCCAGGTTACCCTAAACCCAACTTCAGAGAGTGACCTAAAGCCACATGTAGACAGAGAAACCAGACCCATTAGCAGGGCAAGCACTCGCAAAGAGAAGAGTATTACAAAAAAAAAGAAACAAAACCAGACCTTGAGAGGAAAAACATTATAAAAGGGTAATGACCTTCAGTAAAACCAAAGTGTCACATATGCTTTACAATAGCTGCTCCATATTAAAATTGTATTACCACCCAATTTTGCTCATTTCCACTCCAATTCACTCAGTCCTCACCAAGAACCTAAATCAATAGTAACTCTAACAACCTTTGGTCTTTTTAAAGAAAAGATACATGTATAGTGCAGAGATTGGAATTAAGGCAGCATATCTTGGTCAAAAGTCAAGTACCTGCCTCAATCAGCCTTTAACCTTTTCTATTAGGAATGTCCAAATCCAAGCTCGCTTGATTTTTAGGGAATATATACATATTACGAAGGCTTTCAGGGGCCACTTCTGGGATGGCACACAAGGTACTAAAGACCTCTTCAGTAGATTTCATCTTCAACCTGAAATAAAAGGAAAACAGGAAATAAATTCTAACTGATCATATGGCAGTTTTCTTTAGAGATAGTTCCATAAGGCACTGCTATCAGAAAGACTCCAGGTTTTTTATTTCCTGCTCACTGCCAGCTGTTTTGGCTCCAGAATACATATTGTTTTAATCTCTAAGTGTAAGAAAAATCCACTCCAAGCATATATGAAATAAAATCAGTGAAGTCAGAAACAGCTCATCCCAAGTTTATCCCACTATTTTACTCAATCCCAGTCACAAGGCTGATAAAATAAATAAAATTAAAATATAATGTCTGAGAACTTTGGTCAAGACAGCAGTAAAGAACAACTTAAAGTCAGGATGCAAGAGGCAATAAGAATAAGACCTTCCCTACTCTATTAACTTACTACTTCATCTATTTCATAATTTTGCCCATCTTACAATTTACAAATCACTTTCCATAATTACCTCATTTTCCAAGTATACTGTGTCATCTCTATTGTAGAGGTACACAAGCAATCTTTAGATTCTAAATGGCAGGGCTGGGGATGTAGCTAGGTGATAGAATGCCTGTCTAGTATATGAGAGGCCCTAGGTTGGATCTCCATTGGCAAAATAAATAAATAAATAAATAAACAAACAACAACAACAAAAAAAAACACAAAGGAAATCAATGGCAGGAAACTTAATGTTAAGATGGGGGAGGATTTTATCCTTTCCTCAATTTTTGGTCAATAATTTTTATTGACAAAATTATATATACTCATGGTGTACAATATGATGTTTTGATATAAGTATACATAAGATATCTATCACTTCCCTTATCATATGTGTGTATATGTGTTAAGAACACTTTCCAAATTTACAAAATATATCCTTGACTGTAGTCACCAGGCTATCCTGTACATCTCCATAATCTAGTCTTACCCACTAACCAAAACTTTGTACTCTTTGATCATATCTTCCCAAATCCATCCCTCCCCACTCCCAGTAACTGGCTGCCACCATTCTACTCTCCTCTTCTACAAGTTCAGCTCTCTTAAGATTCCACAAATAAGGTAGATCACGCAGTACTGTCTTTCCATGGTTAGCTTATTTCACTTAGCAAAATGTCCTCCAGGGTCATCCATGTTATCACCAATCACAGAATTTCCTCCTTCTGTTTTGAGACTGAATAGTAAGTATTCCACTGAGTTTACCACATTTTCTTTATCTGTTAATGGAAACTTAGGTTGATTTTATATCTTGGCCTTTGTTAATCAAGTTGCAATAAATATTTGAATAAAGACACCTCTACCACATACTGATATTATTTCCTGTGGACAAACACCCAGAAGTGGCATTGGTAGATCATATAATTTTTCAAGAAACTTTCATCCAGTTTTCCATAATGGCTGTACTAATTTATGCTCCGATAACAGATTCTGAAGATAGACAGATATGGATTTGAATCTTGGTTCTAACAGGTATTTGCTGTGACCTTGGGCAAGTTCTCTAAACCTCAATTATAACTGCTCCCTCTGTAAAATGAAAACAAATACCACCTACCACTTAGAACTTCTTTAAAGATTAAGTAAGATAATAAATATACTTAACAGAGAAGCTGGGATGGAATTAAGTGTTTAATATATTGTTTCTATTAATTTGCTGAAGCACAACAAGCTAGTGACTAGAAATGCAGATAGTCTGTGTACAGACTTCACATTTTTCAAAATAACTCTGAAGCCAGAAAGGTCACTCATAGGACACTATTAACTCCAAGATACTGTCTTCTATGAAAAAAAAGGCACAAGCTTGCTTTCTTATTCCTCTCCTTCCCTACTCAATAATCGAGACCCCAAAGTGTTCTATGTAAAGTTCCTTCTTAAGAGCAAAAAGAAGCGTCCATTAGGGAGAATCTATTTTTTCCCAACTAGCAAAACCTCTTAGCTGAAAAAACCAGATGTCTCACAAGACACAGTAAGTTTTTTAAGATTTAAAATAAACAACTTTAGAGAAATTTTCAAAGGTCTTATTTTGTAGGCTTACATTCTAAAAAACATTCAGCTCTTCCTAACCTAATGCTAAAATATGAGCTTAATCAACACCATAATTTCAGGAAGCTATCCAGCACACATTTTCTCAGCAAACACTAAAAGCATGCTCCTTCTGCCCTTGTGAAAACAAGGAGCACATGGTTTTTCTAGGTCATGCCTGTCATTTCTTTCCAATATTAAATATGTGCTCAGAACAAGATAAACCATCCCCTACCCATGCCAAAGTAGACAGATATATTCATATAAAGACCATAAACATTATTTTGCCTCTGGCAGAAAATCCTTTACTGCTAGTCAAGATATTTTGGATGTTAATTGGATTCTAATCAACACTATGTATACAAATTAAATATACATAACAGGAAGCCTGCTAAATATCTAGAGTCCTTTTAAAGAAGAACTATATAGCAAAATCCAAAGTGTCACAGTGACAAATGACATATATACAAGCTAATTCATTTGGTGGGAATATCAAGATCATAAGCTTAAATGTCCACCAATAAAGGCTAAAAAAAATATTTGGTATGTTTTAGGGAACAGACAGATGAGGAAAGTGGGAACATGAGGTTAAGAGAATAATTATGTGACAATTATAAAGGATGTGGATGCTCTTTATACATATACAGTTATTAAGTAGAAAAAGATACATGGTATATGTACAGGAGAAGGGAAAGGTAAGTACACAAATTTACTTATATGTACATAATATATCTTAAGAAGAATGCACAAGTAACTGTTAATACTGTTACTGAGGAAGGGAAATGGGTGGCTTAGGACAAAAATAAGAGACTTTCCATGGTACATATTTGATCCTATTGTTATACCTATTCCAAAACTAAAATTAACAACAAGGCTTAAGAATTATTAGGCTTATGGAAGGACTATAAACACCTATTGTTATATTCAATTAGCTAGTTTAGAATGTCTTTTTCTCATTTTCTACCTATAAGAATAACCAACACATATTTTATATACAAACTAATATATGTATCAGAGAAAAATAGGAATATGGTGAAGTTACACTCAAGGTCACTAGACAAAACTTTTTACAAGAAAAAAGATATTCAAAATATTTATTGTAAATATATATTGTTTACTTCTAGAAGATGCTTAATATTTATTGTGCACCAACTAGGTCCTGGCTTTTACATATTTTTATTTGATCTTCCCAAGGTGAGCCCAGAGGGCTCCATGGCTCTTCCAAGGTCACTGGACCAGTAAACTGTGGCACTAGAATTTGAATATAGGTTTGCACTAAACTGGGGTCCCTTTTTCAACATACCTTAAACTTTTGGGAGCACAGCACAGTATGTGTCCTAGGAGCTCACTAGGCTCACTAATATCATCTGCCTTAAGAGTTTGCTGCCTGGTCTCATCAAGAAAGCAGAAATGCTCTGAGCAAAGATCAGGGTAAAGTCACTGTCCACAGAAATGCCCATGGACCCAGTTAAGAGCATGGGCCCTACAGATATTCACCAGAGAATTAAAATGTACTGAGCTTAACACCTCTCAAAAATCTCCCCTCACCCAGAGAACTATAAAACAAAACAGCATTGGGATAATAACAGTACCTTCCCTGCAAGCAAAATGAAGGTAGACATTTTCAAAGAATACATGCACTCTGCACATGAAATAGAATCTATTGTTTCTGAGTCACCAGGTCTTGAGGAAGGCAGGAAAGCCCAGTACTGCAGAGGCCCACGTGGAAACAAGCCAGGGAGAGCCTTTCACTGCCTTCCCCCAACCTCCCTACAGACGAAATGAATCGCCTTGCAACTCTCCCACACTCTAGTGCTGGCTTGGAATAAAGGCCTGCCACCTGGTTATATGGCTCAAATAAAGAGAAATCCAAAACAACTAGAAAGCAAAATTCAGTGCATACTCACCAGCCCACCAAAACGGAGAGGGAGAGACAGGAAGTGGGCTTGTGAAGTGGCCTCCGAACCTGATTGGCTAATGAGTTCAAGGAGGATTCCCTCCTCCTTTACCTTAAAAGGTACTGACAAGATGCAACCCCTCCTTCACCCACTTGTCTCTATAGACCACTGATGCTTCCTGCACCTGTTTTTAAATTGAACTTCTTAAACCCTGTGTCCTTCTGGATTAATGCACTTAGCACAAGCAAAAGAGGCTGTTTTGAGCTATTCATACATCTTCTTATTTAGATGGGCCCATTGTATTCTAACTATAATAGATCCTAACTATAATACCTTTATAACTTCCTATCCTTTGCAATCTCATCATGGTTAATTTACACAAGATAACAGGTCCCAGTATAAACAGTCTTCATCAATCCAGTTAAAAGTTATTTGCAGGTTTACCTTTAAGCTAACAGCCTCAGTGCAAAAGATGGGTGGCTTTAAACTTAGCTGATTTTGAATCCAAGCTTTGGTCATTTACTTGCACACATCTAAGCTTCAGTTTCCTCAACTATAAAAAGAGAATGACATCTTCCTTCCAGGACCATTTTGAGGATTATGTTAAATAACTCATATAGTGTACCCAGTACAATGCTTGCTGCAAGGGACTCAACAATGTTAGCTATTATTATTGTCATTACATAATTTCTCCTTAGATTTATCTCCCCAAGTAGACTATAAACAATCAGAGGGCGATGTGTGTATGCGATGAGTGTATGAGTTATAAATCCCTAAGGTCATAATTGATTAAGAGGTTGTTTTGACTGTTCACAGTCCCCTCCAGTTAAACTGTATGTCCTTCTTCTATTAGGACTGCCTCTTAAGCCATAATTAGAGGACTCAAAGCACAACTTTCATCATAATTCTTAAAAAATACTACAGAATATATATAAATATGTGTGTATATTAGAAGTATGAAGATTAATATTTTATATTGAATTATAAAAGGAAAAGATACAACTCTAACCCATAGTAAGTCCTCCTTTTTAATAATTTCATCCTAACCAGTCTTACTAGAAATTACTATCCATTTCAATCCACTTCAGTTTGAATGTCCCAAATATTCCAATATTCAGCATCAAATGCTAGTTTGTTGATTCATAATTTATACATTTAATTGTAATTCAGAGAGTCAAAATTATTACATTTATCAAATGTTTACTTTAAACTGGAAATGGTAATAAGCACTTCATATTTGTTACTTTATTTAATCTCCAGAATAATCAAAGAATGTAAACACTTTTGTTACAACTATTTACAGAAAAGGTAACATAGCTACAGAGTTTAAGGAAATTATTCATATCAGTTTGATTTCCTCAGCTGTAAAATGGAGAGAGCAACCTGCCTCACAGGCATAATTGTAAAAAATATATATGTAAAGCTCATATCATATTAAGGACTAAACATATTCTATTTTCATTATGCACATTAAATGAGATTATGAATGTTAAAGCTCAGGGTCTACTACACAAAGAAAATTCTACTAGCTATTATCAATATTTATTACATTTTTCATATTTTTAAATTATTGCCTTTTATATGTTCTCTACTTTATTTGGATCATAATTGTCAGGTGCTTTTGACCTGCTATGGAATCAAGTTAACCAACCCAATCCAGTATATATATTGAGTAACTAAATTTTTTCAGATTTATTTTCAAGTATTTGATATGCTTTGATGTTGCCATAAATGGTAGCTTTTTTGAAATTTTGTTTCTAGTTGCTTCAAGTTCTTTTATAAATATACAGTTTATTTTTACATGTTATTTTTTATCAGCCTTGCTAAGCTTTCATATTAAGTTTCCTATTAAGCTTTCATATTGAAACTACCCTGTAGTCTCTTCTGGATTTTTCTAAATAATCATAATAACACCACATACAAATAATCAGAATTTTTTTCTTCCTAAACTTTAAGTTCTCCCCAACACCACACACAATGGGGATTTAGCCCAAGGCCTCGCCCAAGCTGAGCAAGCACCTACCACTTAGCAACAAGACCTTTTCAAATTTTATTTTGAGGCAGAGTCTTACTAAATTGCCCAATCTGGCAGCAAATTTGGGCTCTTCCTGCCACAGCCTCCTAAGTAGCTAGGATTATAGGTGTGCACCACTGAACCAGAACAAAATTTACATCTTTTGATGAGCAAAAATTCTTTTTTAAAATTTATTTTTTAGTTGTAGTTGAACACAACTATAACTTTATTTACTTATTATCTTTATTTTATTTACCTATTTTTATGTGGTGCTGAGGATCCAACCCAGGGCCTCGCACATGTGAG